GCTTGCCCGCCTGAGTCGTGCTCCTTGGCTCCATGCTGCCCGATACCATGACCTCTGCGTGGCCTGCCCGCCTGAGTCGTGCTCCTCGGCTTCATGTTGCCCGAGACCACGACCTCTGCGCGGCCTGCCCGCCTGAGTCGTGCTCCTCGGCTCCATACTGCCCGAGACCACGACCTCTGCGTGGCCTGCCCGCCTGAGTCGTGCTCCTCAGCTCCATGCTGCCCGAGACCACGACCTCTGCACGGCTTGCCCACCTGAGTCGTGCTCCTCGGCTCCATCTGCCCGAGACCATAACTTCTACGCGGCCTGCCCGACTGAGTCGTGCTCCTCAGCTCCATGTTGCCCGAGACCACAACTTTTATGCGGCCTGCACGCCTAAGTCGTGCTCCTCGGCTCCATGCTGCCCGAGACCATGACCTCTGCGTGGCTTGCCCGCTTGAGTCGTGCTCCTCGGCTCTATGCTACCCGAGACCATGACCTCTGCGCAGCCTGCCCGCCTGAGTCGTGCTCCTCGGCTCCATGCTACCTGAGACCACGACCTCTACGTGGCCTGCCCGCCTAAGTCGTGCTCCTCGGCTCCATGCTGCCCGAGATCACGACCTCTGCGCGGCTTGCTCGCCTGAGTCATGCTCCTCGGCTCCATGCTGCCAGAGACCACCGCCTCTACGCGGCCCGTTCACCTAAGTCACGCCCCTCAGTTACGTGTCGCTCAAGACCGCAGCCTCTGCTCGGCCTGATCGATTGAGTTACGCTCCTCGGCCGCACACTACCCCGGGATCACTGCTGTGCACGCAACCCTCCTTAATTACTAAACTCCATGATTCCCGCACCCTTGGCGACAGACCGACAAACGCCCGGCAGGGACAGTTTCTCAAAGCCGAAGCCATGCATCGGACTCCCATTACAGCAACCGATGCATAGCTTCCTTCCGGGGGGGAATATAATGAGGGTAATAATTGCGATAAGACTCACGTGACATCAGCTGCACCAGATGACACATCACGCCTTTGCTGACTTGATGAGGCACCTGGTCAACGTGGACCGAAATGCCTACCAAGGCACATTAACGCCCTATTCATGTTCGATCCCTCACGCCACGCCAACGGCATCGTCAGACGCTACCAGAAGTACGATCCTGCTCCCTGCGGGCCAGCACATCATGTAACGGTGATTCTCACAATAAAAACCCTCGTGAGGAGGGAGAAAAAGAAACCCCCTACGACTATCCACTAACTTGATCGTCGGAGGGGTCGGGTTGAGCTCCCCGACCCGACCTTTGTGCAGGTGCGAAGGCGGAGGTCGTCCACTAGAGGCGTAGGCGGGGAGTCCTCTCTCGGTGGAAACGGCGACCCCGTCCCGATCGGGTCACCGTAACTAGCCACCTCAGCAGTCTCGAGGAACGCCCAAGGGAGATCCCCCACCATTCGGACCCGAACCAAGCCGCATCGGCCCCGAGGCCACGGCTTAAAGTTGTTTACATCGACATCATTTCCTTGGGGCCAACACTATCTCTGGGCTAAGCACGACGTCCACGAAGCGTGTCCTGCAGCCCAAATCAATTTGTGATTGTGATATTATAGCTCCATGAAAGGTTGACTGCTTCACTTTTCAACTCAAAGCACAGTCATACAGCTTATAGATTACAAAGGTAACTGATGATCTAACCTTACTCGGACTAATCTGTGACAAACACACACACGTACGCACGCACAGCTATAGAAGTAATATATATGGGAGGAACAGATCTGCTCTCAACTCACTGAAACTGAAATATACAATGGAGGAGGTGATCGTGCGAAGTGGTCGGACTCGGCTGCTATAACAAGCAGATGTCATTAAACCTGAATGAAACGTCGCCTGCAGGGTCCCTCTCGAGCCCTATCTTAGATGCATCAGCGACAACGAGATGCACCGGCAGTTCAGCCGTTGATGGAGGTAATGGGACACAAAGTGGCGGCGCCGCGTTGTACCGCGCGACCGCACCAGCTGATGCCTGCTCCCACAGCAGAACATGAATTCGGATGGGCTTCAACGCATGCCTATGCAACGACAGCTTCTGGCCGAGCGAGATGGTGTCGAAGCAACGAATGGCTCCTGCCGAAGACACCATCCACGGGAGGACTTTCTCGTTGGACACCCTTGAGATCACTAGCAGCTTGGACGAGTTCCGTGCTCGTCTGAACAGATCTCCGAGGCCCGATCGTGTTGAAGCTGCTTCATTGTCACTTTCATCTACCGAAGAAATGTGGATGAAACCCTGTCAAGAATGCAGCTCGAGTCAGGTTATGATCCCGTGCTTCGGCCAGGTAGAGAGAGAGAGAGAGTACAGCAAACCTCTTCGGTGCGGCTTATCGTTAAGCCCAACTTCGTGTCACCTTCTTGAAGCCTAATGTCTACTGCCAGTTCCCCAGCGGCTGGGGTGTACCAAAGCCGGACTGCCTTCACCACTCCAATGTCGACCCCATGGTAGTCCTCGAACCCATAAAGGCTAGCATTTGCGAGATTTGAGAGGTCCGATAGTGATCCACTATTCACGGTTGCAGAGGCGGTCTCCCCAGATATCTGTGGGAAAACAATGCGAGACTCCCTAGCATATCCATCAGCTGGTGTAACTCATTCCAGCAATCCATGGATGGCGTCGATAAGATTACCTTGGTTAGAAGAGCCTCGGTCTGGACGTTCATGAACTCGATGGGGACTCCTGAAGTCTGAGAGGAGCAGAGCCAAGCATTTGCACGGGCCAAGGTGTCTTGCAGGGAGTTGTAGCGGGAAGCGAGCGGGTCCAATGCCTTGGGAAGAATCAGCATCGAGAGGAAGCAGCTTGAGTTGGAAACTGGGAGAAACTCCTGCATCTTCTTTTCCCAATTGTACGGAACATACCCATCCTGAAGCTTGGCAGTGCTCAGCGCACACACCACCCTCGAGCTCCTTGAACCTTGAGAATGAATGAGATTATTGGTGGTGGTTTCAGAATTTTCATGGCTTGGTAACAACTCCTCATATTTCATGCATTATATTCATCTTTCATTAAGGTAGTAACTTCTAAATACATCCAAATTATGGAGTCAACGAGATGGTTTATGTGATTGGATGATAGCTGAAATTTTGACCAACTCCTGACAAAGTGATTCACATTTTGGTCAAGATTTTGAGACACAACTGTTTTCCGACATCCCGGTTTGAATCTTATGGTATATATACTATTGCTAGCTTGGCAATTATCCTAACAAATTGGAATCCAGTATTGCACATGAGAGTAAGAGTATAGAAAGGAATCTTCGCTCAATACAAAGCTGTATGAATCTCGTTCAAGATAGGATACAGAAGTATAACCTTTTAATTATAGTCATGCAAAGGAACATGTCAATGATCTTTGAGGTTTTTTATGTATAGATTTCCCATAATTGATCTAAACTTGAGGTTCTTCCAACGACTACAATCTTCTACGATATAGTAGGTTAATTACTTAACTAACAGGATAATAAAGACACTATATTATCTGTGGTATAGCTTGTAATTGAATTAAAGTGGAGTTTGCAGATTAAATGAAGAAATTTGGTGCCTCGTGCCAACAAGTCCATGCTAAAGAATCAGTAAGAATAATATGCCCTGTCCAACTTGGAAGGTGAATTCATAGTGATCTCTGTGGGAGTCATAAGAGGACAGAGGCCGTACCCTGCAACGCTATGCACTCGCTCTCCATGCGGTCTACGAACCTGACGGCGTAGTTGGGGTCGCGGATGCAGCGCAACGCGTACTGGCGCCGCCCTGCTGCGCCGTGGGGCACGATGCAGGCCTGGAGTTCCGCCGCTGCGCCGCCGCAACGCCGGACCCTGACCTCGATGGACGTGTCCCCGCGCTTGAAGGCTGAGTGGAGCAGCTTCTGTACCCCGCTCTTGCCGCCTTTGAACGGGGAGCGGACGGCCGGGGATCCTCCGATCTGGATCTCCTCCACAACGTCCCCGGTCTGCAGCATGTCCCCGCACCACTCCTCCGCCTTGGAGCTTCCCGCCACGCACTCGATTGCCACCACCGCGGCCCGCTCTGACGACTGCCGCAGGCGGTCCATTCTCATCCCAGTCGTCCTCGCTCCCTCTAGCCACACCAATCCTCCTAGTATCGGAGAAGAAGAAGAAGAAGAAGAAGGACGTGAGACCAAAAAGCCTGTCACCGAGAAATTCTTCTTTGAATCGAATTCAATGGAGATTCCTGATCTTAGAAAGAGAGGCAGTCTCTGAGAGAGAGAGAGAGAGAGAGAGGGAGAGAGAGACTTGGGCTTTGGAGGCATAGTAAATGCAGTGCTGAGCTAAAATAGTACAATTGTCGGAGATGACGGAAGAGTGCGGCCGGGGATGGATTTTTCCTACACCCATCAGGTTAGGGAACAGCTTTTTCCGCTCGCTCACAGCGGCCGCGCTCCCAACGTCTCGTTCCAGTGCCAAATCCTCTGTGGGATTGGCCTTGGCGATTGGGGAGAACCGGTCGTCCGTGTCTCGGGCGTGACGGGGAACCGCGCCAGGGTTAGGGGCGGCTACTGTGGGGACGCCTCGCGATCGCAGTCGTTGATGACTTGGAGCGGGTACACGGTTTCGTGCAAAGCTGATCTCCGATGGCAACCGTTGGATCTTGGTGGCCCAACAGAATGGCGCGAACACGGCTCGCGTGCGCCGATGGGGCCCACCGCCACTAGAAGGCGTGGAATCGAGAAACCCATGAGCCGTTCAGACGTGGGAGACGGTTCGCGGTTCCACCACAGGATCGACATGCAGAACGATCACCGACGTCCGTATAAATTGATGATTAAACGAAATGGACGGTAGATCGCCGAAATCGACAGAAATGTCACGGGAAGTGAACTCACCAGCTCGTGGACGGCTCGGCTGGCGCTTACGTTTCCTCTGTGCCTTCGCCGCCTGCGGTTGCTGGCAAGGGTGGGGCCACTCGGTTCGTGCGTTGGCACGGTGTTCTCCGTCTGGTTAGCCTCACCCGGGTGTGTTCGTCGAGCGCCTGCAAGGCAGTTGGTCAACGATCCAAAGTCATCATAAACAAGTATAAAAAATGAAAGAAAAAGGAGAGAAATTTTTGATAGACGACGGAAGGTATGTTGTCAGCGTTCGCTTTGCTCTCTCGTGGGTGTTGCTGTGCGGCGGATGCCACACGCCGGGAAACAGGGAAGCAAAACGTGAAGGGAAATGGATAAGAAGGACAGAACTCGTATTGGTCGATGGAAAAGGGAAGAAAAAGAAAAAAGAAGAACGAAAGATGAGAATGCGGGGGAACGATCAAATAAGTGCCGAACAGCTAACTAAGAAAGCGAGAGAATAGGTGGAAACAGTCGAAGCAACGCACAAAATCTTAGATCAAAAAGCTGGCCAGCAGTCTCCTCATCAATTATAATCTGTCCTAAGAACGGATGTTTACATCCCTACTCGATGACGAATGCCTCGAGAGAAGTCTGTGCCATTTCCCAACAGTATAAGGTTGGGCTTGACGAAGGCAATGATGGTGGAACGACACGCGTTGAGAGTGATGATGAGAATTATCAGTGATCTTGCTCCAATCATTCCCGGAGACTGTCGTACTTGCCAGACTCTCGCCTGCAGTCTTCACTTGCATGGCTAAGTTAGCTTATAAGTTGCTTACTCCCAATGTCGACACTTGTATCTTTGGGAATACCAACAAGAATACGAGCCATGAATGGCGACACTCGAAAAGCGGCTTGTTTGGCCTGGAAAGAGTAGCATGTGAAATCTTTATGACAGTCTTGAGTTCTCGGGTGTAATGTTTCAGTAGTAGGATGCATGTTTCTCAGCTTGATTTTTCTATCTGATTTGGATGGCTCAATGGTTTAGGCATTTCTTCACAGCTTTTATTTGTGGGTCAACTACACAAGACTTGTTGAATTATTATTCTAAGCTTTATGAATTTTAAGGCACTGCGCAATGTTCGCTTACTTTTCAGCTTAGGTTGAAAGTGAAGTAGTCTCTGGAAGCTTTACAAGAATCAAAAATGGCTGCAACAAACATGCAAAGAAGTATGCTCGTATTCCCATTGATGTGCTTCCATTACTTGACATCATGCTTCCTCCAAAGTATCTGTTTGCAGCCCAAGTGTTTTCGTCAAAGCGTAATTTAGCTCCAGACGCCTACCGTGCTACATATAATACTCCCTGTTGACTGCCAATGGCTGAGTTCATGGACTTTCTTCTTCCTCATGGGAGCTTCATCGGAACTTTACATGGAAACTAGGAAGGATGTCTCGAGTGATGGAAGCCGACATTGTTTGTCAGTGATCACTACCCGGTTGATGTCTTCTAGTACTTTTTCCTTTCGAGCGACTTCGTCAAGATTGGCTGTGCTTGTGCTAGCGCAACATGCAATTTTCTGTAGCATCACACTCGCCTTCAAAAGCTTAACTCGGGAAGTTGACTTACATGCGCAAGTCACAGACAAGTGAAACATTTCTTCGTGGCTCCCATTGGTCCAAAGGTGGAACCCTATCTACTGAATCTGTAACTGGATTAACGTGACACCATTTTGTATTGATTTCTCACTCCACTCTCACTCTTAATGCAGGAAATAGTTGAGAAAATTGTTTTCTGTGTCGCATCGACTCTTCTTTTCATGTCTCTTCTTTGTTGTTGTCAGATATTACGACGAGGGCGCCTCTTCTTTTCATTGTCTGTTCCTTGAAGGCCTTTATTTTGTTCTAAATGAGAATAGCAGAGTCCAATTGTGGGAGTTCAAGACTTCCTTGGATTCAATAGCATGACTGCAAATCCCAGTGAATTGGATGAGCATTTTGTGTTTCGCCGATGTGATGAAGCTCCTGCAACCTACTGCAAGAGGCCTAAATTGGTCTGACCGCAGGAGCTCTCTCTGTAACATGTTTCTCATGCTTGGATGGGCAATGGCCTGCTTGAAGGCAATGGATACGTACCACCTTTATCTCTTCGATTTGGCGATAATCATGTGAATCTTCCGGCAACACTTGACAGCAACCATCGCCGCTTTGTGCTTCCCTTCCATGTCGCTGATGTTTATTGGTATTGACCATTGGACGTCGCTCCTGCCGTGTAAACTTCTCTATCACTATATCTACCCTCCACATTTAACCCAAGCAAGAGGCGGATATCTCTGTCTCTCTCTCTCTCTCTCTCGCGATACTTCTGCCCTCGAATAAAGGAAACAGATCGAGATTCCAGCTTCTTCACAGGCGGAGTCTAAAAGGTGCGATCTTTGATGCTGTGCCGAGACACAAAGTGAGTTGACTTTTGGATGGTGAGGGGAAGAAGAAGGAACGTATTACCATGACGTGGTCATCACTCCCACCGACAGTGAGAGTTAAAAAGAAGGTTGCTTTTCGCCTTCCTTCTTCCAGGAGCTATCGCCTCGTTGGTTCCAGCTGCTCTCTACCTTTCTTCTCCCTCTTCATCCTCACAGTTCATCTTCCTCTCGAGAAAAGGGAACTCTGTTTTCTGATTCAAGATTGAGTTGCATATATATGACACTTCTTTTGGCATAACCATCTAAAGAAGAATGGGATTAAGACTTGGCGTGGATGATGCACGGACCATTCAAGGCCAATCTAAATTACCATAAGCAATGTAAGAGCGTTGTTGATTTCTTGAGATCAAAAGTTGTGTTTACCATCTAATCAATCATCCTTCGTAAAATCTTCTTGGTTGAAAGAAACAGGAATACATAAAGACTAAGCACGTATATGATGTCTTAAGCAACATGGCTATGCTACGGCGGGCCTTCCTCCACCAGTAAAAAGCTTATTCCAAATCTAATTCAGATATCATCACCTACATTTCTGTCTGTCTTTGAGCAATCTGGAACTCGTGAGCTCAGCTAAGACTGCTGCTTGCTCCGTGAACAGGTGCAGCTCGCCCGGCCTTCGGTTAATGCCTTGAAACAGAGTCCACAACGCAAAAATAAAGATATCAAAAGCAATCTTAAGGACGGACGTGAACTGAAGATATCACGAGACCAGCATGGTTCATTTATTACAATACCTTGACTTGTTTCTGGAGATCGTGGATGTAGTCAACTGCCAAATCTAGCATGTCGGCAGTGTTGGTTTGCTGCAAAATAGGAGTTTTGATAGACCATCCATGCAATTCTCAGAGTGGTGCGGTCGAATTCTATTACAAGCGAGAATTACCTTGTCCATGTTAGGAACCAATTCCTGTAGTTTTCTTATTCTCTCACTGATCTTAGTCCTCCTCACCTGACAAAATCCATGCTCGATAGTTAAGCATCATCATGCCCATCGAAGCTTAGGGATGGAGTAAACTACTAACTAGCAAGGAGGAAGGAGAGTAATAACCCTCTCGGCGATGCTCCGCGGGTGGGTGGCGCAACCCCGTTTAGCTCTGGTCCTGCACGGGACTGCATCCTGAAACTGTAGAAAATTCTCGACAGCGGCCATCTCCGACGAGGTCTTGGGCAGGCTGAGCTGATGTCTGAGACCCGACACATGCTTCATCATCATCCCTCCATTCTGTACCTCCTCGCTCCCCAACTCGGGGATCTTAGACATCAGGGAGTTTTGCCTCGGTAGGAAGCTCATCTGATCCTTGAGCCTGTTTGCGGCGTCTCCCATGGGAAGGAGATCCCCATTTCCGAAACCATCCAATCCCATCATCTTACCATAACCTACACACACATCGAACGAATAACAATTTAGTCCAATAATCCAATTCTCCGTTGTTTTCCTCGGCCAACATTATATCGACCGCCTGTTCCCACTTCCCGGTAAAAGAAGGCGTTCACTGATTTCTATTTTGCTTCTCATCCAACGGCATGTACGTGGTAAAGTACAACAAGTGAAACACTGAAAAGCTCCAACGTTTCACAACAGTCATCCTGTTGCTATAGAATCAGTAATAGTCCGCAAACAAGAACTGTGTCAATCGAGATGAATCTATAGTTGTCTAGTCCAAAAGGAGAAGAGGAAGAGACTATTACCAGCATCCACGTCCAAGGGAGAAAAAAGACCGGCGGGAGAGCTGCTCTGCCGAGTGAGACTGGTGGAGTTCCTGCCGGCTCCGTTCTCGATTCGCTGCATCTCCGTCGCCATCGATCCCACCGCCCGCTGCGAGATCTCTGCCAAGCTATGATTCGGCATGTTGTGCATCTGCAGCTGCTGCTGACTGTGATGGTACATCGTCGGCAGAGCAGAGGAGTAAGCAGGCCTCTGCTGAGAGCTGACCATCTCGGAAGAGAGCACAGGTGGCGGTTGCCGGAACTGAGGGCTCCTCTGGCAACCGACCGTGCCGCCCTTGTTCTCGGTCTCGGCGCTCAACAGCGTGGCTCGGAGGGAGTTCTCGCAGGGATCTTCAAACAGAGAGCTCGGGGCCGAACGGTAACGGAGGAGGCCCGGGTTCATCTGTTGATGGTGGTGATGGTGTGGGTGGCCGCGGAAGAGTTCGGACGCAGCATCCTCCTCCCGGTGGCCGCCAAAGGGCACGGTGGGCGCGTGGGAGAGGTTTAGGCCCTTCGACGACGAGGAGGAGGCCAAGGGAGAACCGTACATCACTTCCTTCGTTTCTCCTCCTCTTCTCGCCTCTAAATCACTCCTCGTTCTTTCTTCTTGAACTGCTCTGCCTCAAAAGAATCTATATTTTAATTCCTTCCCCAAAACTTTTAAGAAGATCCGAAGCTGTAGCTCCTTAACACGAACAGATTGGAAACAAAATCTCAAGCTTCCGCCATATCGCCATCGAAGAAACTCCGGAAAGAGGAAGGAAAAAGACCTTGTTTGGGGCTCCAAATCCTCCAAAAGCAGAGACGAATTCCCCGAGTGTCAATACACAACTGCAGTCTCCGAAATCCTGGGCAGCTCGTCATCTACGAATCGATGAAACGTGGGCAGAACACAAAATTTTCTACCACAAATCTCTGAAATTGACCCTCCCTCTTTTAAATTCATACATATTTTCTCCACGGATTTCTTCTCACCACCGTCAACTAATCAAAGTTTGGCCTCCGCCGCTACATATATACAGTTTGAGTGACTAAATTGCCCTCCGCAACCTAACATTCTCGAGAAAAATCTACACTAGATCACTGTTCGAGGTATTCACGGATACTTCTTGGCGTCCCCAAATGCGTACCCAAAGAGCCTCTCACCTCCCACGTGGATCTCTCACCGCCCTTTGTACTTCTGTTGGACCCACTTAAAAGAAGGTGGGTTTGCCCTCCAAGTGCAACGGATGTGGAGAAAGCTTGCGGGAACGGAATTTGAGGCGTTCATTATTTGCTATTATTATTACTGCTAATTTGGGGTCCCGTTAATTTGATTGTGCATGAGAGAGGGCGGAAGTTTGACTTTTATGGTCGTTTGTTTTAAAGCATGGAGGATCTCTGACCGTCCGTTCATGATTGGAAGGATGGGATCGGTCGAGGGAAGCGATACGCACCGTCCTTTTTGAGTGCGGCCGTACGCCACAAGTGGAACCCACACGGCACCCAGCCACCGCCTACTCATCGGATGATTGATGATTGAAGGAGGCGGGGGCGTGGGGCAATTTTTATGTGTTGAGATGAAACATCAACAGGCTGCCGATGCACACAAAAATGAACATAAACAACGATGTCAATTCTATCCATCGTTTTGTTCGGACCTCCTCCGAATGACGATGTTTGTGTCGAGCGATCCCACTTCGGGAACGACGAAACAGATAAGAGTTCACGTTTTTGTCAAGCTGTGCCCCATTTCATGGAATCTTCACACTTTACCCTCCTCACTCTTTGATTGACTATTTGATCTGTTCCTTCCTCTTTTTGTATTCTCTTGATTTGACTCGTCATGTGCCTTCCTTGGCTACTCGATCAGAGAAAGGATAAGATAGAATTTAGTCGAACAATGGTTCGATAAGTGAATGAAAACCTTAGCTCTTTCGGGTTATGGAGTAAGTAAGAAAGAAGCCAGCCTGGGTTTTTTGTTCATCGACTGTCCCCTGTATGGATATTTCCATCGATCGACTTCTTCAGAGGAGAAGACAGTACGAGCAGCAGATCATTATTTTGGAAACTATTATTCCCCGGAATAATGTCATCTAAAGCTTCTCGTGTTTCTTTCATGTGTTCCCTCGCTTTGCAGAGCTAAAAATTGCACATCAACTGAATTCTATTGTTGTCTCCTAAGAGAAACTATGCACTTTCCGAAACGTGATCTGCCATTTCTCGTCCTCAAAATTGCAGATGGAGAGATGACAGATTTCATCAGAATCGGTGCCGGTGATCTTTTCCAGCGTCATGGAAGAGAAAACCTGTAGCTTCATCCACATATATGATGTTATAATTCGCGAATTCGACGAACTTACGTGTCTGCTTGGATAATCTAATCAGCCTCACCTAACTCCCTCCGTTGCCTCCGAATTAGTCAAACTAGGATGGAGATGAGACGATCAACATAGGAGCAAGGAAGGATAACAATGTCCTCGATCGCATTTGGGGTCTCCTCAATCACTCACGTCCGTAGCTTCAAAGTAGAGAGATTGATTTCAACGCCTCATGGCATGGGAACGGCCGAGTCTCTTTTGACCAAGTTTTTTATTTTCTGACAAACTGACCTTTGATTGCTTGCAAAGCAGATTGATTGCTGACCGACCCTCTTTAGGTGTGGTGAATTGTGAGTTGCATCCTTTTCTTTATTGTTTGTGCGTGACGATCCCGTTGACATTTCTTTTGTTGGCTACGGTGGTGAGACAACTGATAGGGTCAACTCTCGATCAGAAAGTTGAGAGCAGTGGTGTTGTTGCCGTGAACTCTCCGGACGTGGTGGAAATATTGTTTGATTGCTGAAATGGATTCGGCAGAAGACATCCGCAAGCGCCTCTGCTCCAATTAATTCCTAAGCTGTCGTCAAGATATTGACCTTGGAATGGACCTCCATCGATGCCAAGAATCTGTAACTTGAAAGAATTCTCGTGGCAGATGGGATTGGAGTACGATGCCCTCGTCCATGGAGATCTTGGTATCACATCCTCCTCCTCAGATGCTAATGCTTTTAATTGTTCCTTGTTTCCTATGTTCCGCTATATAATTCCAATACATGCTCGCATCAACATCTGAGAGATCAGAGTACATCTCACCAGTAGTCGTGGTCCATCCACCATACAAATTCAAGTCATTATGGATCTGCAAGCATGGATTTAGCAGGAAATAAATGCAAGGGGACCAACACAATTCATTTCCAGGCCTGCTTGCATTACGCCTGTGAGGTGCGTCAGATGACTGCTGCTATTTAATGAACTGATTAATACTGACTGCATCTTTTATGCAGCATATTTCCCCATTAAAATTGCTCTAAAAGAGAGAGAGAAAGTGCATCAAGAGAACTAAACATCACTCGGCCCAGTTAAGGAAGGCCCGATAGGAAGGGAAGCCCAATGTAGCTGGTGAATTCTCAAGGAACGACCACATAGCACCCTGCATATTTTTGTGTCTCATCATTCACCAACTATGCTATGCACAATGGCTTTCCTTTCCTGTCCCCATTCATCTTCACCACCACCGTGCTATGAACATGGCAACCAAGTCACCACCATGTGCTGAGATGCACTCTTCAGCCTTGTAGTAGCAATAGCTTTGTCGAAAAGACAAGCTTCTTTTCAGTGACGCAGATACGTTTTCTGATTCTGCTGTGTTATATATAATAGCATGTACTCAATTGCATTTTTCTCTTAAAGAAGGCAAAACAAGAAAAATGATAATTAACGTTTTTAAACCCACCAGTGTCTCTTACAAGAGAGAGAAAGAGAATCTCACAGAATCCAGAGTTGGGCAGTCGGCAGACGGACAAACGTACACGGGCCAAAGCTGGAGTGCTGCCATCACTAATAATAACAACAAATTTACCTCCTTCAGAGTGGCAAAAACTGGTCCGCCAGTACCACCATTACCACCACCACCACCACCAACGCCCAAATTTACCTTCTTTCAGAGTGGCAAAAACTGGTCCGACAGTAACACCATTACTACCACCAACGCCGCCCCACCCCACAAATAACGTGCAATTTGGGTAGAACGAGAAGCCCTTCCTCTCTGCTCTAATCTAAATAAAAATATTACCTACTCATGCATAGAGAAAGGTACAGCAGTTCAAGACACAAACAAAACGCACCGGGCGGTCCGGGTCACCGAGTCGCGCCGATCCGGTCCAAGCTTTCGGCCACGGTCCGCATCCGGGGCCGGAGCTCCGGGTCGGCCTCGGTGCACCCGAGGGCGACGTGGAACACGGCGAGCACCTCCCGCTTGGCGTGCACCTCGTGCAGCAGCGCCGGGTCCACCACCTCCGACAGCGGCCGCTCCTCCTTGAACGCCCCCCGCACCCACGCCTCCAGATCTGCGTCCGCCGGTCGGCCCGTCACCACCTCCAGCGCCACCACCCCGAACGCGAACACGTCCCCTCTCTGCGTCGATGATGCCGAAGACGCCCCCGGTCCTCGCGCCTCAGGGGCCAGGTACCCGGTCCCCGCCCTGGGCACCGCCAACTTCTTCGACGCCGAGTGGGCCAGCTTCTGGTGAGACCCGGAGGAGACGAGACGAGCGAGGCCATAGCCGGAGATGTGCGACCGGAAGTCGTCGTCAAGGAGGATCTTGGACGACGTGATGTCCCCGTGGGCGTGCTTCCGGGGGCTGAACTCGTGCAGGTAAGCTAGCCCGCGCGCAACCCCTTGAAGTATGTTCAGCCTCGTCGCCCACGGAAGCGTCGAAGCCGTCGGATTTTGAGGTCCACCTGCAGTTCACGACATTTGATGAATGATCGACGGTAGGTATAGTAACTAAGATAACGGTACACAGATTTGGAAGTTGACCGTGGAGGGCGGCGTGCAGCGTGCCGTTGGGAATGTAGTCGTAGATAAGTAGGCGCTCGTCCGGGGCGTAGTAGTAGGCGAGCAGGCGGACCACATTGGGATGCTTCGCCCGCCCGATTGTGATCGCCTCCGACTCAAACGCTCGGCGCCGCCGCCACTCGTCGCCTGCTCCGGCCCCGGGATCGTCGTCGTCGTCTGCCTCGCTGAGGCGACGCACCGCAACGGCGGAGGCCCCCCGGTTCACGACCACCTTGTACACGATCCCGCTCCGGCTCTTCCCCACCACGTACGCCGACGCCCGGAGCAGCTCCTCCAGCTCCATCCCAAACCCCTCGTCCACCGCCGCGTAAATCTCCGACGCGTGCCCTTCCCTACGCTCCTCAGCTCGCGAGCCCCCCACCGCAGAGCTACCGTAGCCGGGCGAGGAGCCTATCTCGATCTTGGAGGCCTTGCCCTCCCCGGAGGCGCTCCGCCGACGGAAGTGCCACTGAAGGAGGAGGATCGAGGCGATGGAAGCCAGCACGACACCGGCGAGGATGGGGATCGTGCTCGCAGACCTCCTCCGCTTTTCCGCATCGATTGGACGAGGGGTAGCATCGCTAGGGTTCAGACTGATGTTAGGGTTCGGCTGGGGGATCTTGGGGTCTTGCCTCGGGGTCGTGCACGGGTTCTTCAGAGGAAAGCCGCAGAGGCCTGGGTTCTCGGCGAAGGCGGTGGGTCCCTGGCTGAGGAGGGGCCCAACCTGCGGGATCTCGCCGGAGAGGTTATTCTGCCGGAGGTCTAGACTCACGTCGACCGGAATGTCGCCGAACGCCGCCGGAATCGGACCAGAGAGCAGGTTGCAGGAAAGGTTCAGCACGCCGGAGAGGCGCGGAAGGGTGGCGATGGCCGGGGGCAGGAGCCCGCTAAGGATGTTCGAGGAGAGGTCGAGGTGAGCGAGGGACGTCAGCTGACCGAGTTCGGGCGGGATGGTACCGGAGAGGTTGTTGCGTGAGAGGTCAAGCTCGGCGAGGCCGCCGAGGGCAGCGAGGGCGGCGGGGATTGGACCAGAGAGGCGATTGCCGGGGAGGGCGAGCGACTCGAGGGCGGACAGGAGGGAGAGCTCGGAGGGGAGGTAGCCGGCGAGGGCGCGATCGGGGAGGGAAAGGGCGACGACGCGGTCAAGGCGGCAGGTGATGCCGGTCCAGGAGCAGGGGCTGGCGTCGGAGTCGAGCCAGCTGGCGAGGGCACCGGTAGGGTCGACTGAGACGGCGGACTTGAGAGCGAGGAGGGCGAGGCCATCGGTGGTCAGTGCCGCAGCAGAGGAGAAGAGGAGGAGGAGCACAACAGCCTCCGCCCTGGCCTCTCTTCCAGGTTGCTTCGACATCATTCCCTCGGGCTTTGGTTACAACCTGGCCATTGACGCCGCAAGGCGTTGCAGAGGCTGAGAGGGAACGGGGTAGGTTTAGTGGGATGGGGGGTGAGGGTTCTGATGGAATGTCGAGAATGGACATGATCGAACGGAGAGTGTCGTCGGCTGAGCCGCCGAGGGGTGAGATGGTAAAAAAACAGGAAAGGCCATTTGAAATGATGTGGTAAAGGAGCGCATCGGGGAGGGAGCGAAGCGAAAGCTTTTTGTCCACTACTCACGCCTCTTGTCGCTTTACTGGTAATGGTACCACAGGCAGCTGCTCTGCTGCTTTGGTGCCCGCCAAGCCAAAATTAAAAATGAGCTTCCTTCCGTCCGGCGTACTGCGCCGTAGTTAATTCACTTGATCCGATCTCATTTTGTCTCGTCGAGCATAAACGTTAGCCCAGGTGGAAGTTCGAGTTTCGGTTTGTCAAGACGTGCGGCGGAGGCTTCGGGCCGTCTTCTTGTCTTCGTCCAGTTGGAAGACCCAATTACATGACTTGGTGACCGGCTCGCGAGATAGTCCGATTTCGAAGGCTGCTTCTGTTTTATTAGGAATCAGGGTTTTAGTTACCGGACATTGGTCGGATCCGGATCCGGATCCGGTCAAGGTTGCAGAAGAAGGATCTAGCGGATCATGTTATGGCAGGCCCATGGACCTCCATAGTCAATGGATGACCAGAGGTCAGATGATCACGGGATTGCGATGCCATCTCACGGGGCTTGACATGATGTGGGAGAAGGCGGTAAAGTTACTACTCATCACATCGTTTGAATGAATTCGGATTGGGATTGGGATGTGGGAGAAGCCACTTAACTAGGATTCCCAGATAATTTTGATGGGAGAAAATCTCATAATATTTTATCCTATATCACGTTTTTTCGATCTAGTTCTCCTTTGCATATTGATAATGATCTTGGATTAAAAACGGTACCTTACATCAAACAGAGATTTCTGAACAGAGATTTCTGAACAGATGACATCAAAAGGTACGCATCTTTAAACTAGATCTAAGTATTTGATTTCAGGCATAAAGATTATTTTCATATTTAATATAACATATTACAGTTTTTATGCTTACAATAGATCTACCTACTTGTAGCCGATCGTCGCATGGACGGGTTCTGGTCATGTGCGGTCGGTCGTTGCATGGGCACTATGATGCCCGTGTACGGTTGCCGCCTGCTACATTACGACATATACGTTGCCCAACGTAGTTTTATCATCAACAAATTCGTAGTAAGATCGATCATCGAAGAAAAAGGAATCAATCATGCATCGTAAACAAATAATAGATCTAATATATTTGATCTCAAAAACGATACCAATTGTAAGCATAAAGATTATAATATGCTATATTAAATATAAAAAATAATCTTTATGCTAGAATTGAAATCAAATACTTAAATCTAGTTTAACGATGTGTATCTTTTAATTTCATCCATTCATATATCTCTAGATATCTCTATTTGATATGTAGAATACTGTCAATTTGCAAAGAGGAACCTCAGTCTTGTCTATAAGCGAATCAATGTTATCTCCCAAGGAATCTAAGTGGAGTTCCTATTTTATTGACTAAAATATTTTAACATAATCTAATTAGTTATATTATATATCTTACACAATAGATCTCCTGTGTTCTTTTTTATTGTTTCCATCCCTACTTCTTATACGAGCATTCAGAAGAGTAATAATCAATCCCTACTTCTTATACGAGCAGAAGAGTAATAATCTATTGTGCTCCATGCCGGAACGATGAACGATGACCAATAAATTGCTAACAGATCTCAGAGGCCCATTCCTTGAAAGATAGTTTGTTTACGGTGGAAGGTGTGATCGAAAGAGGATTATTCCACCCTTTGACGTTGCTCCGATGCCACCTCATCTTCACATTCTCCATCTCCAGTCCTGAGATGTGCTCCAACGTCATCCCCGCCGTCTGGTGCTTCACCATGCCCCTGCACCCCGGCCGGTAATCGTACAAGTTACTGGGATATTTCGTCCTCCGTTTGTACGTCAGATTGATATCTTTGAACTTGAGGTTGCTGATGAGTCCTCCCGGTGAACCCGATAAGAACACTCCGTTCTCCGACACGGCTGAGATGTTCATGAAGAGAACGTCTGAAATGGATCCGGTCTTAGAACCCGGATCTCTCGGGCAGGTTGTGATATAAATTGGCTCTGCTCTTCCCCACCATGAAGGATCGTAGTATTTCGTGCTTATTCTGATGTTGGAGAACACGACGTCACTCACATTGCCTGCGTAGATCATCACTGTTGTTACTGCCAAAAACAAAGCATAGGCAAGCATACGAAAGAAGAAGTACCTCCATCTCGAATCTGCATTGCGAGTCCTCTATGCGAATCCACGATGGTGATGTTGTGGAACAACAATCTCCGGAAGTCAAACCAGCTCGCGCTTCCAAGCTTGATCGCAGATGACTTGGTCCGAATCCAGCAGTCCGTGACTATTAAGTTGTGCACAGGTCCCGTGGAGGACTTGGGGCATATGGCATCGTCCCCTGTGTCGATATGGCAATTCGTGATGAAGGTGTTGTTGGAGTCCTCGATATCGATCCCGTCGTTGTTGGGCGAGTCGAAGTCTCCATAAATCGAGACATTGCGGATAAATGTGTGATCGCACCTCACCAAATGTAAACTGCAGAAGAGAAAGATGTCATCACTTCAATTTCCCTGTCCTAGTAAGTTTAATTGCGTCATCATCTACAAGGTATTAATTCCTGATAAGAAATGAGATCGAATATCAATTGTTTTGAACGAATTAAATGAATAAAATAGAGAACAAATGCCCATTGACAGCTATTTTGGGCACATTCAGCCCACATGAAATGGGCCAAACCCAAAACTGAGGGAAGCATTAACCCAACCCAAATTAACGTTGGTCTGAAAAATTCAGCTTCGAGGGTGGACTGAGATAGGGTGTTATATACTTCAACACTAAGGAAAGCGAGAGAGAGAGAGAGAGAGAGTGAGAGAGCGAAACGCACCACCAGTACGCGGTCTGGTTGAGGGTGACGTCAGAGACGACGACATCGACGGAGTCGATGAAGCCGACAAGGCGCGGGCGGCACTCGTCGCCGCGGCACGATCCGGTGGCGTTCCAGCTCACCATCACATTCTTCCGCGGGTCCCGCCGCACCACGAACGCCTCGCCCTGCCCGTTGATCTCCCCGCCGCCGGTGATCCCCACTCGCTGCACCCCCTCCGCCACCACTACATACCATCGCGCCGGGTCGGCCGGGTAGTCGCACTGCCGCCTCCCTCCGAGGATCCGCGCCCCGGCCTCCACCTCCAGCACCACACCTGTTCGCAGCCACACCGTAGCGGTCAGGTAGTCCCCGCCCGCGGGGAACCGCACGCGCCCGCCCCCCGCCCCTGCGCACGCGTCGATCGCCGCCTGGATCGCCACCGTATCGTAGCACCTGCCGTCGCCCACGGCTCCGTGATCGGTAACGGAGATGATGGTGGCTCCGCCATGATCAGCGGCGGCGAAATAGAGGAGGAGGAGGAGGAGCGGAGTCCACATTGGGGATAAGATTGTGGGATATTTTGGCGGAAACCACCTCATCTTCCCCTTTCTTAAGAGATTGGCTCGCTATGCGTTTGTTTTAATTTAGGTAATATTTTGACCATGGCCTTTCGTATGGAACGGGATTCGTAATTTGATATTTGGGGGAAAGGGAAGGAGAAGGTGATCGGAGCCGTTGGTTATGGATGTGTTCGTCTTAGACGGTTGATTGAGAAGCAATAGGGCATCAAAGGGATGTCACAGCAAGTCGGGTTCCCCACGAAACGTTTACCCTACTTTTCTACCCTTCCTTCTCTGTCTCCATCTTCAATTGCCAACGAAATCTGGGAAGTACAAATTGCTGGAGACTTGCGCTACTGATGATGAAGTTAAACATGGTGATTTGCTTTGTGCTGCAGAAGAGAAGGGTAAGGGTATGATATCACTAATTTGATCCTTCCTATTACAGGGGAAAGATATATAATTTAATAATTATATGAGTTGAATTATGAGTTTTTATTTCGTTAGGATTATAATATTGTCATTTAGGTTTAAATAGTAGAGAGAGATAGAGGAGATAGAAATAATAGAGAAAAAAAATTAGAGAGAGAATAATTAGTTATACAATTATCAAATAAAATGATCTACGGAGATCAAGAAATCAATCGATAGATTATGTTACAATAGAAGAAAGATAATTAAATAAAGAAATCACCATGATGCTAATTAATTAATAGAAAAATATCAAAAGTTTGATCATATTAAAAAAAGAAGATTGAAAGTATAAATGATGGCTTTTATAATTTATTTTGGATTTTGTTATTGTCTAAATTTGATTTAAAAAAAGATTACTAGAGATAAAAAAAAATTATGATGAATTTTTTTTGTATTGGAAGATTTAAAAAAATATATTTTGGATTATTTTAAAGATGTGATGGATGATAGAGATTTTTTCTCGCTTTTCAAAGATTAAAAACTTGATTTTTAATAGAGAAGTAGATAAAAAGAGGAATGAAGTTAACCTCTCAAGAAAGATAGATAAAAATATTATTTCATGGATCTCTAAAGCTAAGATAAGAAGAGAAGTTAGACTAATTGCAAATAGCTACGAGTAGAAAAAAAGGGATAGATTATAATGAGGCATTTGCACGAGTTGTTAGACAAAACAGTGATGTTAGTACTTGCACTTGCAACTCAAAATAATTAGTTAGTTTATCAGTTAGACATTATTATTATTATTATTATTATTATTATTATTACTGTTGTTGTTGTTATTTGCATGATGAGTTATAAGAAGTTTACATTAATCAATCTCATCAATTTATAATTAAAGGAATACAAATTTAAATTTAAACTTAAAATTTAAAAAATATTATATGATTAAAAACAATCACACAAAGATTGGTAATATATATATATATATATATGTGTGTGTGTGTGAGAGAGAGAGAGAGAGAGAGAGAGAGGGAGAGAGAGATAATTACTAGTTTATGTGTGAATGACGTAATTTAAATGGGTAACGATGTTGATATAATTCATGAGTTTCAATCTTTTACGAAGTGTTGCGGGAAACAGCCTTGAGCCGTGGCATCGGGGCCGACGCGGCTTGGTTCGGGTCCGGATGACGGGGATCTCCCCGAGGCGTCCCTCGAGCCCGCGGGGTCGGTCCGGTGCGATGGTCCGGTCGGGACGGGGTCGCCGTGTCCTCCGGGCGGGAACTCCTCGTCCGCGCATCCGGCGGGGACCCTCGGCTTCGCACCTACACAAAGGTCGGGCCGGGGCGCTCGGCCCGACCCCTCCGATGATCAAGTTAGCAGAAGATGTGGAGGGGGTTTCGGAAGAAGAAGTGTTTGTGTGTGTCTCGCCCCCCTCTTCTCTGATGAACGAGATGGTATTTATAGGGAAGCTTACTGTTGTTTGATGTGCCCACCTGCAGGAGGCAGGCTGATAGCGTCTGACATGGGGGTTGGCGTGGCGTGTAGAACCACGCCTACGTAGGCGTTAATGTGCCTCGACCGGTGTTCTAGTTCGGTTGACCGAGTGCCATCGCGTCGATCGAGACGCGAGGCGTCGGCTGATGTCAGCCGAGTCTTATCATAATTACTATCCTCATCACGAAGAATGAATTATTATATGATTGACTTCGATTTGATAAAATATCATCTAAGAATTAAAGTTGAGGAACAAAATATAATAATTTTTGTTTCTCAAGTAAAATACATTATAGATGATAAGGATAGTAATTATGATAAGACTCGGCTGACGTCAACCGACGCCTCGTGCCTCGATCGACGCGACGGCACTCGGTCAACCGAACCAGAACACCGGCCGAGGCACATTAACGCCTACGCAGGCGTGATTCTACACTCCACGCCAACCCCCATGTCAGACGCTATCAGCCTGCCTCCTGCAGGCGGGTACATCAAACAACAGTAAGCTTCCCTATAAATACCCTCTCGTTCATCAGAGAAGAGGGGGGAGAGACACACACAAACACTTCTTCTTCCGAAAACCCCTCCACATCTTCTGCCCTGGCCTGACCTTTGTGCAGGTGCGAAGACGAGGGTCCCCGCCGGATGCGCGAACGAGGAGTTGCCGCTCGGAGGACACGGCGACCCCATCTCGACCGGACCATCGCACCGGACCGACCCCGCGGGCTCGAGGGATGCCCCGGGGAGATCCCCGTCGTCCGGACCCGAACCGAACCGTGTTGGCCCCGAGGCCACGGCTCAAGGCTGTTTCCCGCAACAGATTGGCGCTAGAGGAAGGGCCCGGAATGTCGGGTGATCACCCGAGCGGCTCAGATGAGCCCACGGCTGAGAGGTCACACCCGACCGAAGCCTCGGGGAAACATCCCCCGCACGGAGGTCATCGTGACGGACACCCCACCACGACCTCCGAACGATATTGGCGAATATTCGATGACCCGGGCTTGTCGCCGCCCGACGGCGCCCCAGCCGACTCAACACCCGTGTCACCCGAGGCCTTTCAGGACCTCGCCCGTCAAGTCCGAGCTCTGATGGAAATGGTGCAAACCATTATCCCGCTCGTTTCTCATCCAGCGCACCCGCTCGCGATCGAACCACTGCGACAACGCGAGGCGCCCGTTCGGGCCCACGTGACACTACCAGAGCCCCCCACTTCGCCTCGGGTCCGACCGGCCCCACTCGGGGATCCAGTGATGGCAAACCCGAACGGTCGCCGAGAACCCGAGGTTCTCTCCTCGGACTCTCTGCGGGCCCAATTGCGCTTCGTCAGCCAGCGACTCGACGAGGTGCAGAAAGAGGTTCGTAGGTCCAAGGGAGAGCTGGGGGAGGACGCGCACCGAGGGTCTCCCTTCTCACCCGAGATACGGGATATGATAGTCCTCCCGGACTTCCAGATTCCCCCTTTGGACGCTTACCATGGCTCCACTGACCCAGCGGACCATGTAGCTGTTTTTCGCACCCAAATGGCGCTATACGGAACCTCTGATGACTTGATGTGTAGAACGTTTCCTACCACTCTAAGAGGGCCGGCCCATGCGTGGTATGGCGGCTTGGAGACCGGAACGATCGCTTCCTTCGGCCAGCTCGCCAATGACTTCGAGCTCCACTTCGTAGCCTGTGCACGACCAAAGCCCTCTGCGGCACTGCTCCTCGGACTCAAACAAAGGGAGGATGAGCCCCTCTCATATTTTGTGGATCGCTTTGCCACGCAAATCCGGGGCTTGCCAGACACTCACCCCTCTCTGTTAGTGCAGGCGTTTGTGATAGGCCTGCGATCTTCCAGATTCCTCTGGTCCCTCGCGGAGCGACCTCCCACTACGGTGCCAGAGATGCTCCAACAGGCTAACCGATACAGCGCAGCCGAGGCCTGGGCGGCCGTGAGGAGAAGGGATGACCTCCGACCACGGGCTCCATAAGAGAGGCCAAGCACCCGCAGTGGCTACCCGATGTAGTCCTCATGAAAAGAAATCTAAGCCCTGCCTCTGTCTTTTCTGAGCGAAGGTTCAGTATTTACCTCACCCCCTCGCAGTTGGCCCCGGCTTAAACCATTCTAACTCTACACGGCTCGGCCATAGACTACCTGAGTCTACCTCAGCACGGCCTGCCTGCTTGAGTTGTCTCTCGGCCCGAGCCACTTCCCTCGGCCGTAGACGACCGAGCTCCCCTCAGGGCGGCCTTCCCGTCCGAACCTCATCCCTTGGTCGTAGACTGTCGAGCCCCCCTCAGGGCGGCCTTCCCGTCCAAACCTCATCCCTCGGCCACATGACGCTCGAGACCACGCCTGCGTGGTCTGCCCGCCTGCGTCGTGCTCCTCGGTCGCATGATGCCTAAGACCACACCTGCGCGGCCAGCCCGCCTGCGTCGTGCTCCTC